TTCAACAATAATGGTACAAAACTCACTCCATAAGACTGGCAAAAGCCAAAGTTGCCTAATCAGTTTGCTTCCTCTAGTGGATTTTTTCCCCTCGCCCAAAATAGAAATAAAAATCTACATTCCTAAAATATCCAAGTCAAAATTCCAGTTCTGTTTTTATCTTAATAGGATTTAAATACATCCATACATTTGTTTGGTGCTACTGAAAAACTAAACTTCAACTACTTTCACATCTCAGGATACAGAACTCAGTGGTTCCCCAAACAGAACATGAAAGCTTTCAGCTGCACCTGGTGCTCAAAAAAGAAAATAAAAACCCAGGAAAGCAGCATGAGCTCATCGGTGAGCCATTGAACCCTGGAGCTGTGCTTCAGCCATCAGGTCCGACATTAAAGCAGGTCAACAAACAGCATGGAGGGGGGGATGGTGGGATATTCACTTTTATCGGCACCCCTGGTTCAACTTCCAAAGCAGCTTCTCTGGAAAATTTAACCTTTGAGGCGAGCAGTTGTTGCAGACCGAATGCTTTGATAGGAAGGTTGGAGCATCTAGATGGATTTCTATAGGATCTAGATCTGTGGGCGGGACAAAGGCCAGAGAAGAACATCTAAGAACTGGATTTCAGAATTTGTGATGCTGTTCAGTTTCCCCAGGTTACATTTTTTGTAAGGGAAACAGACCCACAGCATCACAGATCCTCCACCGTACTTCTGGTGTTTTCTGTGTGCTTTAGAGAAACCATTTTTTATTTGTGATGGAAGGCAGCATAAATAAACCACCAGTTGATGGTGATTCCTAAATTTATAAAGGATTCAGAATGATTTTTTATTTTTTTTTAAATCCACATGAATTAAAGAAGTTTGCAGCTCGTGTTTTCAGTTGCACGTCGTTAAGGGGTGCCGACAAACGTGATTTTTTTTGCATCACCTAAAACCTTGACTGGTGTGAAAGTGATCACTTCACTGCAGGAAACAAAAAGATACAAGCAAACAGGATCCAAACAGAAGTGAAAATATCTAACGGGTTGAAATGAAAAATCCAACAACAAACGGGTGAGTTAGTGAGTGGGGAGAGTGCAGGACGGCGGCGGAGGGGGGTGGGGGGTTGCAGAGAGACGGCGGAGGGTGATGGTAGTGAGCTGACAAATTGCAAGCTGTACCTACCAGGATAGGGTTATTTGTCTATAGTCACCATTTAAACCTAAGTGAGGAGAAATTTAAAGAGTAGCTGACAAAAGATGCAAGTGACTGAAGATGAAGAAACATTCATGAACAGGAAACAAAAAGCTAAAAGCACAACCAGCAGGATACAGAATGTCAACTTGACCTTAAAAGCTCAGCGCAGAAAGCAGGAATGAGGCTTTTGGTCCCTGGGATCAGGGACAGAGCTGCTGGCCAAACTGGACGCCCCAATAAAACTAGACAGCTGGGTCACTATGGTCAATTTATCCAACTCCAGGAAAATTAGTGGAACTTCACTAATTTACATCATTACTCAATTCTGGTGGAAAGTTTAGTGGAAGGACAAACACATGGGTATAACTAGATTTACTTTTCTATTCTTGGATGCGATCTTAACCCTAATGTAAAAGGAGCACAAGCCAAATTCTTTCTACTGGTCTGATTATTTCAACCTTTATGAAACTTATTTCTACTCCTGATCCAATATAGATGCATCTATGGGATTAAAACTGTAGGTCTGACTTCCTTAAGCAGGTTTTGTAAGCTTATTTTTAGTATCAGCATGCAGCATTCAGATATAAGTGACTGTTAAAGATGAAATGCAAGGGAGGAAAGAAAGGTTTAAAAAAAAAAAAACAGATGCTGGATTTTGTTTTTTCTATTCTTTGCATAAATCGGGTCAGACAGCGTGGATTCTGTATGCTGAGATCTGAATTGTCTTTGAAGGAGAGCTGTTCTCCTGCAGCTGTGAGGAGAAATGAAAAGTGCAAAGCCAAGAGATCGCCTGCACTCCTAAACCGAGGAAGGCATTAGCTGCAAAGAGCGCCTGAAGCTAACAGAACTGCTGAGCAAGGTCTTTGTCAGGACACAGATCTTTAGAGGAAGCCATCGCTGTGTTCTTTGGCTCACCTTGGGATCATAGTCGGGGTCGTTCTCCTCGTCAGCCTCCTCCTCGCCTTCCTATTGGGAAACGGAGCAGGTTTGCCTCACATTATTATTCAGGTCTTTAAAAAGGCCTCAACTATATCAATAAGACTTTTGTTTAAGCTCAATTCATAAGGGCAGTTGTTTTTTACCCATCCTATATGATGATAAAAAAAAAAAAAAAAAATGTCACTCATTTCAAAATAAAACAAAACGAACGGGGGAACCCTTGTGATGCACACAGTAGGTGATCTTAAGGCATGACTGCTGAATGAACAAATGAACATTTTGATGGATGAAGATGCAAGAAAACAACTTCACTGATAATATCTGCCAAAAATATCAGTATATTGGTCTCCATTAACTTTTCTTGGCCTTTTAAGGTTTGATAATTCGTCAGGAGGCACTGGCCTCGAGTTGAACATGCATCTTAGAACAAGGAGGGGCAATTAGAGATACATGATCCAAAAAAAAAAAAAGGTTTTGGAGCAGGTGGCCAAAAACAAAGACCCAGCCTCTCACACAGCGGGACGTCTCCTCTACTTATAACCAACTGTCAAACGCTTGAGTAGAAATTATTTAGTCTCAAAGTAACAGTCTGGGGCAGCAAATAAAGCAAACAAAAAAATAAATACCACTGCCTGTCAATTATAAATCATGTTAATAAATCTGGAGGAATTTGAGATTTGTATTTCTTTACTGTCAATTCATACATCCGACATTAAAGGCTACATCTATGAGAATACAAATTACAACCACAAAATTCACCAGTTAAAACCCAGAAGTTAAGTGTTAAAAATTCCCACTCCTCTTTTACCAACATAGTCACTCCGATATCACACCTATGAGTTGACGAGGAACAAATTCATAAACCAGACTAACATTTTCATCGATCATCATCTCACCCCTTATGGCAAACCCTTTAAATTACACTGTGAGCAATTTGTAATGCAGCGTTTCAAAATCTCTACAATCAGACTGTTTTTTGTCTAACAAAGTGCTGACTGGTTTATCTCTAGCAACAGTAACTGATTTATTTTACCTCGTCATCGGCCTCTTCACCCTCTTCATCGTACTGAAGCAGGAGAGAAAAGCAGAGTTAGGTTCAGAGCCTTAAACCCAGAATAAAACATGAATCTACTGAACCCTCACATCGTCATCATCATCCTCTATGGCCTCGCCGGTGAAGTAGAGGACAGCTCGCGGTACGATACGCTCACGGATGAAGTGGCCGATCTCAAAGTCTGCAGCCAGGATGGCCTCAGAGTCCTCGTCCTGAAAACAAGCAAGCTTCATTATTAACAGGAAAAAAAAAAGAAAAGCAGCAGGATGGAAGAAAGGTGCAGAGACTCACCAGCTCTCCGCTTTCTGGAACTGCAAACCAAAAGGACAAATCAAAGAGTTAGAAACTATTACTTGAGTCCTTTAAGGCGTCTGCTGCTGGTTCTTACCCTCCGGCGGGGTGAAGAAGTTAAAGAAGGAGTCGTTGGGGACGGTTTTGGTAACGGTCCTCACTGTGCCACGGCCCTTGTGCTTCTGTTTCTTTTTGATTGTTTTCAACGTGATGTTCTTCCCCTTCGTCCAGTCGATTGTGCATCTGGACAAAAAGCAGGAACAAGTCAGGATCCAGCGACCGAAGAGTCACATCGGAGCCGCTTCTCTGAGCGAGCGCCTCACCCTGTGCAGCTCATGATCTCCGGTCCGTCGAAGGAGAACGGGTCGCTCTCGTCAGGTTCCGACCTCATCTTGTAGGTCTTTATTAACACTGTGTTTGTGAAGAACTCATTGGGCTCGAAGTGGAACTCTAATGTGAAGCTCTGAGGGCAGAAAGAAGCCGCAGGTTAACAACAAGACGCATCGGGTCGTAGCCACCTGAACACGGCCATGCAGACTCACCATCGGCTGTCCCGGATCTGAGAATTTGACTTTAATGTCTTGTAGATGTTTTAGAACAGGCTCATCGTGCTCCTGTTGAAGAGAAGAAAACCTTTTAGATTCTAAATGCAGAAGATGACCAGCAGGTGGCAGCATTGCCATTCCACCACCAAACCAACCTGCAGCATGTCGCTCAGCAGGTCCACGTTTTTGAAAACCGTTAACCAGAACTCAGGGATGCCTTTGGGGTTCTCCTTCTCCTCGTCCTTCTTCTCCTCCTCCAACTTGGCCTTCTCCTTCATCTCATCCTGAATCAAGGAGAGGAGCAAAGCTCTACTTTCTCTTCCTCACAAATATTCCAGAAATAAATAAAACTGAATCAGGAAGCATGCAGTGGTATACGTCACCTGTACCTGCTTACTTACTGTCAGCTCTTCCTCCTCATCAGTCTTCCATTCACATTCTTCGTCTGTGGGCTCGTAAGCTGCAGTGACGATCTCACTTCTCTGTGGGAAAAACAGGAAATAAATACAGATTTACAAAAAAAAAAAAAACTCAGAGAAAACCCTGAGGTCACTGTATGACAACAGAAAAGCTGTGTCAGCAATAAGACCCCATCAGCTACTGGGAGTGTTTGTTTACTTTCATGTAAACACGTTCCCTGCTTAGTTGGAAATGCCTCTTCCAATCAAATTTATTAAAAGCAAAATAGAGTAGAAGCACATTTTAACAATGTCGTTGCACTAGTTGAGATTTTAAAGAAATGTTTTTCCATGCACTGCATCTTCAGAATAAAAATGTCTGAGCAGAGCTCTGCAGACTAAATAAAGAAGTGATAAAACAGGCTTACTTTGTCAAAGAGAGGCTGGTAGAGCGCTGCGTACTTTCTCTCCAGTTCATGAACTTCCTCATAGAACTTGGCCTCAATGTGGGCGCATTTAGCCTGCAGGTTCTTCAAAGCGTTCACACGTCTCTTTACAACCTTTGGTAAACTGCAGAGCAAAATTAAAAAAGAACAAATAAGGAAATCTAAAAATAAATGACTTAAGGGAGGAATATCCCACAGGAATCCAACATGAGGTCCATTTGTTTGCTGAACTGCTGATATTCAGATGACGCCACCGTAGTTTATCTGATGGAGGACGGTGGCCTGGAAGGTTTTCTGGTGCAGCTAGAGGAAACAGCTCAATACCGTATAATTCCCGACCAACAGAGGCTGGTTCCTCCATCGAGACGTTACCAGACAGATTTGGTAAATTTTTTAAATAAATGTAAACATTTATTTAGAGTTTTGAGACCAATTACAATCATAAAATGATACCAATTATGTGTTGAGCATTTTCAAGGCTCATCCTGCTAATGGCTGAACATCTTTACCGGGACTGTGAACTTTGAGAGCCTCTTCATCAAGGAAACCAAAGCAAAGTAGACCAATTTATCCCCCAGCAGGCATGTCTGAATTGGTCCTCGAGGGCCACCATCCTGCAGATTTTCAATATTTCCCTGATCACCACAGCTGATTCTGATTATTGCAGTTCAGCAAAGACTTTAATCAGCCATCAATGGAAACTTGCTCTGATGGTGCAGGGAAACCTAAAATCTTCAGGACTAACATTGGACATCCATGCTACAGGGATTTTATCTGTAGAAACTAAAGACTAATGATGCTGTGTCGCCATCACTGAATGCCATTGAAGCAAGAGTCTGAATCAAGTAATGTTTTCAACATTTTAGTCCCAATTCTCTCGATGTTAATAAAAAGGGAAACAAGCTGCAGGCAGTTTGGCATGAGACTGAAGCTTCCACCCCTGAATACCAAAAAGAAACCATGGAAATGTTCAGACATTGTCATTTGGTCCCACCTTGACTACCAACATCGTTTCCTGTTCGCCGATTCAACTCTGAATCAGAATGCGGCGCATCTCCTTCCCTGAGATTTTCTCGCTTTAACTTAATGTGGAAAAGATTCACCCAGTAAACCTTCCCTCAATTATCTTCTAATTGTTAATCATGCCCTTCACAGATCATTAAGACTGAGCATAACCATCCGGTTTCTCTAAAAGACACGTAATCATCCCCATCCCTTATAAACCGCCCCACTACTCTGAGCTTTAGGAACCGAATCAATAAATAAAAACTTTAACAAACTTCTTTTTTGCACTGGGTCCTTTATTGTGGACAAACTAAAATTCCTTTAAATAAATAAAACCTACAATCTGAAAAAATAAAAACTTAAAAGTTCAGCTGTCAGCTTTGGTAAAAAATAAATAAAACAAAGTATTTCAAACAATCCCACAAGTAAAACATAATTAAAATGTTAGATTTAATCGTTTCTGCTGGAGTACAGTGGAGGATAGGTGATGTGGGACAGTTCCATCCTCTGAACAACATGGCAACCATGTTGGTTTTGGAAATGCAAGACTACAAAACTAACCTGGGAGGATTTAAGCTGCAGCGAGAAACGCGTATTCCAAACCTTGAAACCCAAAGATCGCTAATAAATGTGGGATTAAGCTTGTGAAAACATCAGAAGGCATGATAATCTGCATTTATAGACATTTTCAGACCAGTTTAAACACCAGGAAGATGGAGAAATCTCACCTTTCCATGTATCCTGATGGAGAGCCGTTCAGACCGTCCAGCCTCTCCTGCAGAGCAGCCAGGATCTGTGGGTTCTGCATCATCTGAACAGTGAGCTGACGAGCTGCAAGCAAACAGAGGAACAGCTAATTAAAACTTGACCTGGTGAGAGGCTGAATAAACTGATGACCCCCTTAGACGATGACGCAGCCTACAGACGATCAGATCTGATGTCATGATGGATCAGCAGCTCAGTAGATTAAAAAAACAAAAACGAATGGCACCTATTGAAGCTCAGGCTCATCTCTGCCAGCAGGCGGGAAGATTAAACCAGATAAGGCAAAGACATTTTTCCAAGCTGTTCGTATTCAAGCTAAAGCTTCTCTGGGGAAACTAATTGCCTCTACACGGAACAACCCAGCTTTATAAGAACCGAAGGCCGAAAAGGTCTGACACATTAAAGCAAACCCTTCTCCACCGTCCAGCTAAAAACTCCCCCGTCTACATTGATCTTCACCCAGAACGAGTCTCTAAGATCAAAGACTATTAAAAAAAAAGAAAATTGAGACAGAATCCATTTTTATCCACTTCCAGGCGCGAGTGGAGCCAGCGAGCATCAAAAGGACATAAGAACCAGCAGCAGCATCCAAAATAAAGAGGATTAGCTCCTTGCAGCTCGGAGCGTCGTGCTCCTTTTAAATAAAAACATGTTGTTGCTTTTCAGGAAGGCTCTCCCCGCAGCTCACCTTTGCTATTCTCATCCTCTCCGGTCTCCTCCTCCTCTACGTCCTCCACGTCTTCCATGTCTGCAGGGTCCATCTCGGCCTGGTCTTTGCTGCTCCAGGGGAAGAGAAGAAACGGCAAATGAAGCAGGTTTCAGGGGCTAAACTGGGTCACAGCTTTTAAATCAGACTGGTTTTTAAATGAGTATTTCAATGAGGGCCCACATCAGGCGGCAGCACAGCCCAGCTCTGCTCCTAAAGTGCAGCCAGCAGCTCAGGGTGAAAAATAATCGATGGCCAACAGCGGATGGCTGTCAGGGAGACGGTGACGGCGGTGACATTCACTCCGCTCCCACAGACTCTAGTCTCCATCACTCAGACGGTAGAGAAAAACAAACAGCCCCTCTAGAGGGGAAGCTCCCACACCCCACTGATACTCACTTATCAATGTCTGCCATCTTAGCCGAGTCTCAGGTGATGCTGGAAAAAAGAAAAAGTTTTTGAATACCTTAAAATATACTTTATAACTTATGCACAAACTGCAAACCCAAATACCATTAGCCAGTAGAATGTTATAAATGCTACATGCTTGTTAAGCATCTCATTTGAAAGCTCAGATCTTCTAGTTTCTGGAGATATCAGCTATGCAACTTTAAACATGCCCAAAGTGTGTTTTCCCTCGTATATAAAAATATATGCATCATACATCTTGGGTATAATAGACCTAAAAGCATATTTCTATATGCAGCTTTACACATTTAAGAATCTTGTCTATTCTCCTCTCACTCCTTAAACACCAATAAACTCCCGCACTTTCAATACTTTATTGCCAAGCCTGTCTTATTGGCTAAAAATATACATCAATTCCAGTTCTGATTGGTTAGCCAGTCTGGCTACACAAAGGCTACAGTGAATCATGCACCTTCAAGGTTTTCTAGATACTAAAAAAAAATGTATGTTTAGAGCTGCTGCAATTACTTGAAGTAATAGACGATGAATATTAGTCTGGTTTTTTTGTCAAACTTTTTTTTTTTTGTCAGCCTGTTTATCACTAATTTATTTTGGCCTGAGCAAATGGCTAATTTGAGTTCAGGTACTTCCGCTCCACAGAACTAGTTTTGCTGTGCGCACACCACCAAAGTAGAAGGCCAAAAGTATCCAAAGTATGCGAGTACTTTTCGGAAGTTTTTTGGCTGGATGGTGACTCTTGCCGTCACCATCCAGCTGCTACACTGCCAAGTTCATTAAGATTAGTTGGCTAATCAAAATATTTGTTGACAGATTGGGCGTTAGAGGCAGCTCTATCGTTTGATTTTGTGAGCAAACACATTGGTTAATAAGCCAAAGTAATAAGGATAACCTGAAAAGGACGAAATACGCCAGACACATAAAAAATTTGTTTGTTTTTTTTTAAAATCCTACTTCATCACAAAAATGGATTGGTTTATTACGAAATGAAATTCACTTTATGGGAAATAAAACTACGTAAAACTTTTCTTTGGAGTTTTACTGACAAAAAGCCCATTTATGCTAGGATGGAACAGGCTTTGGAATGATAAGACAAAAACAAGGTGCTGATGAGATGGCAGTTTATCAGTTATCTGGGTGGGGGGGGTTTGGCTTACAATTGAATTGATGCTCGTTTCCTTAGTAACGCCTGATAACCCAGGGTTTGGTGGTGGGAACTAAAGGTATTACCAAGGATGTTAAATTTAGAGTTCAAAAGAGATTATCTCGTTAGTGATCATTCCTTGTCTAAGTTTTAAAGTCATATCACAGATTTCTGACAGAAAAGTCTAATCAATTACCAAATACAGGGTCCTTAATGAACGGGTATGAGAGTCTTAAGATCCATTACAGAAATTAACCTAAACTGAAAACATTGATGTTAAAGTGAAGAATCATTTCAAAATGGACAAAACAAAATATTTTGGGTTTTAATGCCATTTCTAATGTCATTACAGCCAAACGTTTGTCGAAATTGTGAATATTTATCCATTTTGTCCATCAAAACCCTAAAGCTCATGGCTCAATCGTATGAATTAAGTTGCTAGATGAGAGAAAGTAATCAGCAGGTAATAAAAAGCCAAAAAATCTGTAAAGGAAAAAAAAATAGAAATAAAAATCACACTAGATGGATGGAAATAATTGATGTATGCAAACATCCTGTGAGTTTGAGCTGCCTTATTTTGGAAGGATATGTATGCAATAAATGATCAAAGTAAAGAAACCAGAGAAAGTGTTATGCCTCATCGTGGATGCTGGACAAACAACTTTAAATCTGAGCCCACGTCTGCAGAAAAACGTAACCAGAGACGCACAAAACAGTCTTGCTCTGTTCAGTTGTCCATTTTAGAATGCTGACAGACAGTTTAGTGCACAACTAGCTAAAGAACAAAAACACAGAGCAGAAGACAAAAAGAATAAAGAAAAAATAAGCTGTAAGAAAATAAAAGTTTGTAATGTGCATGAATGCAGTAGGGATGCTTTCATCTAAGCCTTTTTTTTAGTTTAAACCTGTCTTGTTTTACTTATAAAACATGCCACCATTTTTATAACAGGAACACTACACATAACTCGATTGGCTCCAAACAGACCTATGGGTTTTAAAACATGTTAAGCAACCATTTCATCATTAATTCCCTTTGATTTACATGATAAGACTCAGGTGGTGAAAGCAAGACCCTATTGGCTGCTACCGCTTCCAGTTTGATGACCTGGTCAACAAAAACAGGAGAGCACATAAAAGCTGCACACCTCCAGCTCAATGTCACAAAATGCAAAGCATTCATCAGAAAGAGCTCTTTCTAGGGCACTGGACCTGAGCATTACAGGAAAGTTTAGTGGAGGGAAAACCCATTTTACTACAGAAAAATCATAAGTTTGTAATCCTACTAAAGGACCTGCACTTTTGCATACTAAATAAGACTTATTAAATTATTTTTTTTCCAGATTTAAGCCATAATCTTCTAAATAAATGGCAATAAAGACATCCACTTCAAAATTAAAGTGCCAATTTCAACTGTTTTAAGTCTGTAACTGCTAAAAATAATGACTATATATAAATATATCTTCACTATTGTGCAATCAGGAGGTTTAGTTATAATATATAAAAAGGAAGGCGCAATAGATCATAGCAGCAGCAGATTACAAGGCCCAACTTTTCTTTTTTTTTCTCCTGATCAGCGACCACGTGTTGCATGAAGAGGTCAGAACTAAAAGCCTGGAATGGGGTCAGGCTCTGCTGGATTCAGACCCCCAATCAAACGGTGAATAAACCGTTAGCTGACACGAAAGCAAGCCCTCCGTTTCCCTCTAACCAGAAGCCCACCGGTGAGCTAACCGGCCTTCACGCTGCCGAGCAGCTCCACACTCCGGCTAGCTAGCTATCTAGCTCCTCCGCTGCTAGCTCGATGCGCACTCCTGTGGCTGAGCAGGTGGGAGGAACATATCCGGCAGACAGCCAGCCTGTCCCCAACTACATAATATAATACCGCGTTTTAACGCGCTCTTGTGCAACACAACCGGCTGAACAAAATAAAAAAAATAACAGAAGCGGTTCTAGTTTAGCCTGATAAATCCAGCTGTTCTGCCAAACATGGGCTCCTGAAAATGCAAGAATCTAAGCACGTGCCAACGTCTATTAAAACTGTTGAAGATAAAGGCATTTTACCGTTAGCTCGCTAACTACACGTTGGAGGAAAAAAAGGCGGAGGGGCGCTTTTTTTATTCCTTTATAGGCGTGTAACGTTATCACATCATGGTGGAGCCAGTCTCAATGGCTGCTGCCGCTGTCTCAGACTAGCATTAGCAAAGCAAAGCGTCTTCCTCGCATCTTTTTCGCAGCTTAATAAAAAGAATAAACTTCCGAAAGAGACGTGGGAGTTTAGGGTTTTGGTCGCCGGAGGTCTTGGGGTGCGCTGCCGCTTACCTTCGCTGTGCGGTCGGAGGATGGAGTGAGCGAGAGGCGCTGCGCAGTTAGACAGTCTGGGTGAAGAAAGAGACTCCGCTCCGATGGCGGTAAAAGGGAGAGATATCCCGCCGCCTGCGCTCATATACATCCTACGTCATCACGTAAATTCACTGTCGCCGAGGCAACGCAGACATAGGCGGGGCGATGTATGGATTCGCCATTAAAACCCACCATCCTTTTCTTCTTGGCATAATTACAGATACTGATAAAAAGTATCGAACGCCACTAATTGCTTTAAAAAATATTTTATTGGTGGTATAAATGGCGGCTCAATGAGTTTTACAAAGCTTCTCATAAGGAGAAAAAAAAGAAAGAAAAAAAACTGAAATGTTAGAACTGTAAATTTACAGTAATATGTATATATTACTTTTTATATATTTATGTATTTTTTTTAAACTATTTTTCAAGGCTGTACTTAAAAAAATGTCTAGAGAGCTTTTGAAATTTTGTTTTGCACTTGTGTAAACAAAATGACAAATAAATCTAAGTCTAATAAGGTGGACAAGGTGATGGCAATATGATCCTGTGGGGTTGCCACGCTGGAAAAAATAAAAATCTAGATAAGTAATTTTTTCTTAAAATAACTGCATTTGTTCTTGGGTTGAAGAGGTAAAAGAGACATTTTGCCAATGGAACAAGACAATTTACATTTAACATAAGAAAACACAATTGCATTGTCTTATTTCAGGTGAATTTTACCTAATTATCTCGTTTTAATTGTTAAAATACTCATTCCATTGGCAAACTATCTCACTTACCTTCTCAAATTAATGGTAAATATGCTTAATTTGATATATTTTTTATTTATTTCCAGATGGTTTTTCCAGTGCAGGGAGGCTTGGACAGTATCTGCGTTTTCATAACAAATGTGCGCAAAACTATGTTGACATTCTGCTAATTTTGAGAATTTTTTGCAGTCGTAGTATTTTCCTTAAATAGAAATGCGAATAATTTTGCATGCCAACACATATGTTCACATGATAACTCTTATCTAACACTATGGTGAGTAAAAACTTACATGAAATATGTCCATATTCCAGCTACAGCTCTAATGCTTATCCAATCATTGTCACAAAGTAAATAGGAAAAATACTCCATGAGTCCTAGTATGCCACGCACATTCATTCTCCAACTACCTCCTCTCTTCTTCATCTTTTACACAACAGTAAGGTCCATGCAGATCATGTGACTCCTATGCAAAAAAAACTGATTTCCTTGCAGTTTTGTCAAATATAATCAGTTCGATACGACGGAAAAAATATCACCTTTTTAAAATTTCTCCTTAAAAAAAAAAACACAACTTTTTTTTTTTATTGCAGTTTGCATATTACTGGTGAAGATTCCTAGTCATCCAGGTCATAGTGTTTCCAAAAAAGTTAAAACACAATCCACTGGACTTTGTTTTCCAAGTTTGAAGACGTTTTGCTTCCCATCCAGAAAGCGATCTCAATTCCAAATGTCTGGATTAACGTTGAGTTCAAGGTTTTATAGAGTATCCCAAACAAAAGCCTTGTTATAGCTTAGAAAGCATGCAAATTGAACCAAAAATTGAGGTCATTATTGGCCTGCAAACCCCGACACTGGCCCATTCCTCTGAAAGGGGAGTCGTTATTTTGCATATTGATGGTTATTTTTTATCTCGAACAAGAAAAGTATATCAGCTTCTTTTGATCAGCTGTCAGTTGAAGCAACATTACTTGCATCCCCTAGAGTGACATATATTATTCTGTAATATCAACCGAGATTGCATCATCTCAAAACTGGATCTGAACCTTCTACGGCTCAAATTTCAAGAACTTGTGAGAAATTGACCAACATTTTTTTCGCATTGGTGTTATGTTGGTTTTAGATTCTTACCTGGTTTCTGTTAGCCTTCTAGATTAAACCAGTAGTGCTGTGGTTTTATGGTGCCATGTCCCCTGCCTTCTGGTTCTCAAACAAGGCAAGAACCACCAACAGTGACTCTGCATTTTCCATGTTTTTGCTCAATACAACAGTCAGCAGATTCCTCTTTCTTGTAACCAATCACACAAACGACACTTTTTTTCTGAGGCTTTAGCAGGAAGTTAAAGCATTTACCATTTTTATGTTTTTGTTATGATTCTCTTCATCATGCTGTACTTGATTATTACTGCCTGTCAGTTTAGGTCGATGGCCATGTTTTAATAGGTCGTCTTTACCTTTTATACTTTTATAAGAGCAAACTGTGACATGTTTTTGCATATAAAGTAAACTGAAGCACAACATGCAATAAATGTGGGCATTTTTTATGTTTTTTTGCAATGGATTCAAAGGTCTGACAGTAAAAGAATAATGAATACAAATACATTTCTTGTTTGCCTTTGTTAAATCCTTAAGATCAACTACTATTCAATCAACTACAAGATTCAACACTTCACAAAGTGATAGAATGTCTTTTAGCAGTGATAATACTGTAACCATGTAAAGCTTCCACTACATGAAACAAAAGCTCAGGAGGCATGTGGTGGGATTTCATCTAAGAGTCTGAAAATACTCAAAGAAAATGTCTTTTGCAGCCAGTAGGAAAGACAGTGAGGATATCTGAGTGATTCATCCATGGTGCAGCTCCAGCCACGCTCCTGGTATACAGTCTTTCTCTGAGCAATATCTGGCACAAGCCCAGCTTTCTGTTTTTAGAACACTTTTGCACCAGAGAAATACTTCCCACGATCTGTGTCAGACGGCAAAGCTAAAGATTTCCCTGACTCATCCTCAGCAGAGCTCAGGAGGAGACAGCGGATAGTCAGCTGAATACAGAGAGGGATGGATCTACAAGGATAGAATCTCTTTGATTAGCCTTCCTGCAGAGATCTGCCAGGTGAAACTGCAAAGCACAATCAGAGAAGTTACCAGCATGAGGGTAGAGATGTATAAACTCAAAGAAAAGCAAAGGCTATGTGAAAATCAAGAAATCTCGGCACGTCCCGTTTACCTCAGATGTCAGAACTTAAATCTTGGAGTAAAATCCTGGTATAAAAGTTGGAAAACCAATTAGATTTCACGATCTTTGTGCTAAACCAACTAACAACCTCAACTTTATAGCTTCTTTTTGTTGGAACGGTATTAATTCATCTGCTATTTCACATATATGATTCATTATTTAAAATCATTACTTCAGAAAAAAAAAGGCAAAAAGTAATTTAGGGAAAGTTTTAAAAATGTCTAGGAAAAGATTCATCCTTGACATCTCTATGCTAAGGGTTCCTAGATTGCTAAAATTAAATTTTGATTAATTTTTATTTTTATTTAGCTATGAATTCTGATTTTAAATTCTGTTTGGGTTTTCAATATTTTTTTTTTTTATTTGTTTGCAAAGTAACACATTGCATTTGTTCTGCTATAGGCTTATACTGCTGGAGGACATAGGGACCTCTTTTCATCATTCTCTATATATATATTCTCATATCTCTATTCTACTAATCTGCAGTATTTGTTTGTTCAATCTCTAACCTTATGTTGACTATGCTTTTTCTCATATTAGCTTCGCCTCTTCTGCTCCTGTTTGGCTGTGACTCCATCCTGGAGAGAAATATCAGCTGGGCTGCTGCCATCAACTCCTTTGTTTATAGATGTTCGAGCTCTGACAGTTTTTCTGTAGTCCTGTTTCTCTGATTGTGACTAACTGTATGTGAATTCTTTTATCCTCTAACATGGGAGCTGGCTCAGAGCTTGTCTGCCTGAACAGGGGACCGCCCATGGAGGTAGTTGACAGATGCCTTTTGTATCTCTGCTTGTTTATCTTTGTCTGCCTCTGTCTCCTTGAACCCCAGTCGGCCTCGGCAGATGGCCACTCACACTGAGCCTGGTTCTGCTGGAGGTTTCTTCCTGTGAAAAGAGAGTTTTCCTCTCCCCTTTCTTCACAATATATACATTATATGGGCTGAGCATTTTTTCTTTATTTTTATTTACATAGTAGACTCTTAAATGATTGCAGAGACAAACTCTCCCCCATAAAACACGAAAACACAATTAATTCTTTATCAGTCCTTTTTATTTCCAGTATAATGTTGTAAATAATTAATAGCTGTAATTTATTGCTGCAGTGGGTAGCACTGCTGCCTTGCAGCAAGAAGGTTGCAGGTTCGATTCCCAGCCCAGGATCTTTCTGCATGGAGTGTGCATGTTCTCCCTGAGCATGCATGGGTTTTCTCTAGGTACTCCAGCTTCCTTCCACAGTCCAAAAACATGACTGGTAGGTTAATTTGTTTTCTTTAAAATTCTCCTTAGGTGTGAGTGTGAATGGTTGTTTGTCTCTGTATTGCCCTGCGATGGATTGGCGACCTGTCCAGGGTGTACCCCGCCTCTCGCCCGTAGACAGCTGGAGATAGGCACCAGCACCCCTCGTGACCCGGTTTGGGATAAAGCCTGTCAGAAAATGGATGGATGTATTATTTGTCAGTTTTACTAACTTTAACTTACTAACTTTAATCTTACTAACTTTAATCATGAAATTCCAGATTATGGTTTCACTGCTGCCACCCTGTGGTTTAGAGGAGAACTGCTTGCATGGGAACAACGAATCACCTGGATGACTAGGGGCAGCCATGGCCCCCCTTTAGCTCCGCCCCTGAGTGCAGGTAATTTATTTCATTCTATATAAAACTTTACTCACACTCCACATTACTAATTTGCAGAAACAAATAATTATTTCACAGGAGAAATTGGTAAAAGAAAACTTAAAAGATTCTCTGAATATCACAAACGTAAACTAGATGGGCAACCTTAACATTTGCTTTACGTCCTCCAAGATCTTAGCAAATTACACTTTTGAAGCCTTCTAAGTCAAAGCCGTTATACCTCAAACACCCAAAACACCAATTCCTCCTCTAAGAATTCATAGCTTTATGGATTTTGCTTGAGGTTTGTTTTGTGTTTTCTAAAAGCGTAAATATCAAATCTGTTGGATGTTTCACTCCCTGTCCTGCATGGCTTATTGAAGCTATTCTTTTTGTGATACTACTGAACAATGAATCCTGTGAAATTCAAGTCAATCCAAAAGAACAACCCTCTTGCTTCTGCAGATCTTTGTGGATTAGGTTTATCTCCAATTCCTTCATTA